TCGAAACAAGACTGGTGCCTATAGAAAAGTAATCATTTATACCTTGCGTAAATTATTCAAGCACGTTAATGGACTTTTATGACCTCAGTTAGAAAACAAAGCGACCCTTTGCCACGTACACTCCAAGCAAAATTTAGCAATTAAATGGAGTCCATATCCCGTGATCCCCGATCTAGCAGTTGTACCCACTTTAACTAGAGCCTTCCTAGTCTTCTCTCGTCGTAAGTGATCAGAAGAGCTCGGTCCTAAGCAAACGCAAGCGTATGAGTGGGCCTTTACATACTGTTTTCTTCCCTCTTCTTAGAGAAGAGAAGTTCAAGGAAGGCGCCATCTTTAGAGGCTCAGTGAGAGACAACGGCATGGCGCCTAAGCGGCTTATTGGTAAACCTTCCTTGACGATCGTCCGACGACCGCCATTGTCGGAAAGGTTTCCTCCTTCTCTCCGCAATCCTCTGTAAACAAAAATCGTCGGCCTTGGTCACGCGAAAAAAAAAAAAAGAAGGAGAAACGTGTTTGTCGAACATAGCGGAGGATATCAGCAGCGGGTGAGCGTTGAAAACACAGAAGAAAAGACACAAAGCCGGCTTTGGACGAGACATTTGAGCAGATGGCTTTTTTGAGTGAGTGAGATTATGACAGAATATTTTTCGTCACTTTTTTCGGGTGAGGTTTTAGTAACCCGCGGAAAACACGTCGGTGTCAGCTTTGTTTTTGTAAACGGCTGCCGTACAGCATGTAAAAAGATTAAGATTAAAAAACGGCATAAATTTGGTTTTCTCAAAGATTTACTTTAGTCTGGCTGGACTAAATGACTGCACAATCAAGTTTCTAATCATTAAAATATTTTTTTTTTTTTTACTTCAGAGCATAAGTGCAACTCTCGACTACTGTTCTCCAGTCGCTGCGGTGACGGGAATATGCGATTTCTAACAATGTGCGGAGCACTGCGGGTGCCCCCTGCATTGTCATTCACAGCGCGAGTTTACGATGACTATTGGTGGCATGTTGACTCTAGCTGAGGGTGGAGGGGTGAACGCTGCTTGTAAGTTCTTGAAATGTTTCAGTAAGTGCTTGTTCGTGAGAGAGAGAGAGAGAGAAAAAAAAGAAGTAATGTGCGTTTCGGAAGTATTGAACGTGAATTATTTATTTTATGTTGTAACTAGCTAAAGTAAAAAGAAAAGTCTTATAGTTACTATAAGAAGGAACACTGTAAAAGATTTATTGAACAATCTAAAGAATAATCCACCGCTGAATTCAGGTAATCATTCATCGCGAGGTCTAAGGAACGATTCCAGGAACAATTCTATTTACGATGTGCGAAATAATTTATCACAGGATATATGAAATCATTAATCTTACAATATAACAGCTGAACCATCGTACGATTTAAAAGAATATTCACTGTAGAATTAAAAACAAAAATTATTATTCAGTTTATGGAATAATTTATTGTACGAATAAGAAGGCCGCAACACAACCTCTGAAGCCTCGCGTTTTTTTGTTTTTTTTTAAGCTATATGAAATAATTCTTAAAGAACAACTCCTGTCGAAAACGAAACTAAAATAAATTACTGGGTATCACTTCAGTGGCACAAAATATGATCACGGCCGAAATATTACGCCAAAGTAAAGCCGTGTACTCCACTAAAACCGATTTTAAAGATGTGACCAGCTGCTCTTAAGAGGACGACAAGCGGCTTAGCTTTTAGTCAAGCAACACTGGCGCAGCGCCCCCGTGACGTCACGTCGCAGTGCAGCTGAAGCTGATTGGTTGTGCCGCGTACCGCAGCACCACGATGACGTCACGTCGCGGCGACATGAATTGATAGATGCTAACGGCTGTACCCTTTATAGCAGGGGGTAACTTCCGCCACCTAGCCTAGAAATTAAAAACCAAATACATGACTTCCTTCCTTTGCCAATTTTTTTTCCCCTCTGAAATTTTGTTACTATTACCATTGGTGTGGGATATCATCAGAATGGCCTTTGGGGGGATCGGGCAAGAAAACTAAAAAACGTCACCCCCACCTCTTGTGCCCGGCGAGGGAGTCTCTAATTTTTTTATGGTCAAACCTAGTCGGCGCTACCCCGGCACAGGACCCACTGGAAGACAGGGTGGAGATTTTGGGCCGGAGCCACGCAGGAGGGATTCCCAATTTTCCTCTGTTTTTCCTGTCTCTAGCTGTGTCAGTGATTTGTACGACACGCACGGCTGATGATCAGTGTTGCCATCCCTCTAGCAGATAGTTTCGGTTTTGCTGTAAACGTCCGAAACCAAACTTTGAGCCAGATAAATATAAAACTACACACAATATCGGGGAAAAAAATTATACCTTGAAATTCAAAGACACTGCCTTAGCTGAAAACAGTCGTAGTCCTCAGTTCAAAACCTTCTCCGAAGTTTCTCTTTGATTTTTACCGATGTTTTAGCCGAGCGCATGGAGAACTTTTTTCGCGAGAAGCGGTGATGTTGTGGTTTTTCTAAGAATTGGTCTGGGTTACAAGCAAAATGTGAATGAACCTTGAAGATGAAATCTCACTGATAATTGTTCATGGTACGCCCCATTAAATTCAAATACGGTACGGCGAATTAAAAGAGTATCTAATATTGTTTTGATTTTTTTGTTGCATTTAGTGCGCTTTCTAGTAAATTTACACGTCGAAGTTGAAAAAGGATGCCATGGGGAGAACCACCCGCGATATATTCGGTTCACCCGTCTTTTTTCTCTGAGCCTTCGCGCTTCATGTTGCGCTGAATTACTTTTTTATATTTTTTTCTATAGTGCGTTACTATCTGGAGTCGGTATAAATCATAATCAACTAAAGCCGTATAAATAAAAAAAAGTAAAAAAAAAACCGACAGCTATAAGAAAACAACAACAATAAAAAAGAAGAACGTAAAATGAGCGAATCACACGTGCTAGGAATACGCCCTTTCCCCTCCCACTCTTCTCTTTCGAAGTGTTTGCGATGCAGCCTCCGCGGCTCTAGAAACATAAAACGATCGATTGTCGTTCCGCATTGCTTCCGACGCCCTCGCGCCAGATGGAGCGGTTACATAAAAAGATTCTGAAAAAAAAAAAAATAGATAAAAAGAAAACATATTTGTTTTTAGTTTTCCACCCGACCCCGAGTGGAGCCACAGTCAAACGACGCTATACGGCGACCAAGTCGGTCAAAACACGTCTTTTCACGTACGAGAAAAAAGGCGCCAAAAAAGAAAGAGGGATTGATTACGTGTGCGACCGAGCTTCGCCTCGAGCAGTCGCAATTCACTTCAGTGGGCAAAACAACATCTCGCCCTTGAGTTCTTTGCTAACCGTATAGACAGACGCCTTTCAGCAGCTGTTCATGGGCGCCACCATCAGAGACCTTCAGTTTTTGTTTCCTTTTATTTTGATCACTTCGCTTCATCATTGCCCCAGCAGGACAGGTTATTGACATTCTAGATCCGACTGTGTCCTCCCCAGCATTGGCTTTTCTGGAGGCTCCTCAAAGCGCGCTTCAGTGGCTTGGTATTTCGGTAAGACGAGAGAAGGTCAGTAATGGCCGCTGCAATATGGCGTGTGTGCAAAACGTCTATAGCCTCTAGCTGTTGATAGCGGTAAACAAAACAACGTTCCTTTTCCGGCCAATTCCCTTCCTTTTTTTTTCAAATGCCGAATCCTCTTTTGTTAATAGTCGGAAAGCCGGGATCACACTGCTAATAGATCATGCAAAAGACAGTGTGCAAACATCAGTCACTGGGATGTCCGTGGTTCGTATGCCGCCTGCCAAGGTTCTCCTTGATCTCGTTGCCATGCGGCCTTCGAAGCACGGATCTTGTGATGAATTGCGTTCGAATCTGTTTCAAGACTGCCTTTCGTATGATCCATAAGCAGTCTGACCCCGGTTTAAAGAACTGGTTAGCAGCATATATAAGGGAAGGCAGCCATTGCTACCAATAGCATATTACGTCACGGCAGTGCGGCAGTATCGCAGCTGTCAGCACCTTACATTGCGCTCTCTCTTGGGGGACGAGCTATTTTCGAGTACAGACCAGCGCTTGTCACCCAGGCACCAAATCCAAAGTCACTGGGTTGTGGACGCATGCGCAGCGTCTCATTATTCGTGGAAGATAGCAACTCATGTGAGAAAATTGCTTATAAATTTTGAACATGATAACGGTTCGTTCTAAAACTTGGGCATCTGGTTGTGACCGCTATCGCTACATTCAAACAGGGAATGAGCGTTAGGCAATGCTTAGCTTACTTTTGCGGAAAAAAAAAACCCAAAAAAGTCGTATTTTTTTAAACATTTTGTACTTGTTACTAAGGTGTCTGGAACGCGTCTTCCAACTGTTATGTTTAGCGTCTTATTATGCACGGGTATTGAAAGCGGTCCTGAAGTGGGCAACACATGGCGTCACAGAAGCAGGCCTGTCATGTTGTCGGATGTCGCGGTCCTGATGGTAAGTGATAGAAGTCCTGGACGAGCAGAACGAGCGAACGCGAGTGTTGGTATTGTTTTCGAGTCCCCAAATTACTGGCTACTGAAGCTTCCGCCGACTTTCAAGGTGGACAGCGACCTGCACCCGAGCAGGCGTTTGCCGCAACCACCGCCGCCGCTGTCAAATCCCCAGGATAGCGTCCGGCGAGGGCATGACACTTGTGCGACGTCGTCAGGCGGAAATGAAGGGACCACTTTTAAGGACGCGGTAAACAAACCCTTGGGAAGTTGGTGAGTTGAGTGAGTGGGTATGCATTGAACATGGTGATAAACAGCGCACAGAAGACAAGGACATTCTAGAAGAAAACAAAAGACAAGCGCTTGTCCTGTCTCTGTTTTCTTGTACCGTGTCCTCGTGTCTTGCGCGCTGTTTATCTAAAAAAAAAAAATCAGTCGCAAACGTGTTCTAGGCATTACATTTTTTTCCGTTCCATTTTTGGCGAAGAATGTCAAGTTGGAAGTTGGCCGAAGTGGCGGTTCGTAGCTATGCGGTGAGGGAAAAGCATACTCACCAAGTACCACTGGTACGGGAAGTAAGGATCGCTGGGTTCCCTCTGCAGCCTGAGGTTCTCAGGCCCGAGCTTGAGCTCCGTGTACCCCCTCTTGACCCGCTTGAAACCGGTCTGCTGGACAGCTGCCTCCACCTGGTGGGCATTTAGAAAAATACACTTCTAACGTGAACTCTAAACAAAACAAAACAAAAAAAAAAGTAGGGAATATTTTTTTTTTTTTTTTGGACTGGTATCAGTGTGGGGGAATATGCCAGGCAAGCTAACAATATCACTCGCTACCCACACAAGCGACACGCGTTTGGGTGCCGAAAAATCTGGGCATGACGTAACACTGGTCGGAGGTTTTTCGTGTTCTCTCACGTTAAGTAACATTTTCGGGAAAAGCAAACGAGATATTCAGATCCACGGGATAAATATACGCCAGAATTCACCTCTAACTCGCTTTTTTTAAGAGCCTTTTCAGCTTCCTTTTTATTACGGGGCCGTACTCTAAAGCGCAATAGGACATTGCTACTTCGCCATATATATAAAAATAAAAAAGAACATGGTAAGAACATTACTTTTTTTTTGCGTTTAAAGGTCAATAAAGCGCGAACTTTCAATCTGATGGGATTTGCACGCATATTAGTTTTCTCTATAAATTCATATTTAAGTTTAGTCTTTAGGGACCGGAATTTTTATTGAGATAATTTAAGACACAAAAAGTGTTGAATCTGAAAACTTAGGTCATTAGGAGAAGGTAATTAGCGACACGGGCTAATGAACTCCTTTAACGCTCCAGCCGTGCGCGTAATTTTGTCGTCGAGGCAAAATGTTCCCATGTCCTATATAGGACATAGTTTATAGTTTAGAACACACTCATTACGTTTCCCGTACTTCTGAATCTGGGAGGGTTATCTAGAAAGCAATTACAAATTCGAAATCAACACCAGGCAACATACCAACATGCTGAACTGAACTGAACTAAATTAAAATTATATAATTAAAAAGACTAGTTTACTTCCCACCTTTCCACTTACGTATATACCTAATCTTAAGGGCTCTGCGTATAAGACTGTAATAGGTGTGAACGCGATCCGGAATGCTTAAACTGCAGGCATTCTCCACATACCGCGTACAAAGTGATATCATGCATATTTGCGGACACTTCTCAAGAATGTTCGAATCGTGTTTACTCAGATATACATGCATGCTTCGAACGTGACTGCAGTCATATGTTTTACGTTGTGTCTAAAGGTACGTTGGACGTATCCGGAACGAGAACTCTAAAGGTATGTCGGACGTATACGGAGATGCGTCGGACGTAGCCGCGATGGGGAAGGGTCGTATTACAGCGGGTCATAGCGTGCCTTACTGAGATCCCACTGGCAATTTTCATTCCATGGTTATTTCTGATTGCTGCCCTAATTAGTCCATTCTAAGCACTCCATTCTTTTTACTCCCGCGATTTTGAAAAAGGGAGAGGGGGTAAAACCAATTCTGTAGAGAATTAGCCCGCTCGCCTTCAATTCTCACGGCGCACCACGGTCAACTATGTTGCTCTCGCCACGACTCGACTAGTCCTCGGTGGCCCCGTCCAGTTAGCTGCACACAAACTCACGAATTTTCGTCTCGAGTTCCGGATGTCGACTTTTACATTATTGTGCTGTCCCGTACACTTTTTACGGGTCGCAGAGCCCTTGAATACCTACTCCCGCTGTCTTCCCCACCGTATCACACGGTATCGCAGATGCTCTGCAGTGCCGTGGTTCCCGTTATCTTTCGCGCACGTGATCACCGTTCGCTGCAACTTCACTGTGTACAAATTCATCTTCGTACTCATGGTGGAGAGCAAAGCTCTGAGCGCCTGAAGAGATGGCATGAATCACGTAAAGAAAAAAAAAAAGAGCCGCGCTAGCAAGTCAGACGACGGAGTCGAACGAACGGCGGCGAAGAAGAAACAGAACACACAACGCCTTACTTGTGCCTATGTTCTAACGCGCCTGCGCGGTAGCACAAGTATCGCTGTGTGCCGCTATCTACCAACTGATGACAAAACCGGGTGTCAGGGACCAAAAGGTGGTGTGCTGCCGGCACGGAAAGGTGGGCACAATACTGAAAGCGTGAATAAGACGTGCAAAGAGAAGGGGAAAGGAAAGAAGCGACGTTTCGGACGCTCAACCTTGATGGAGAGTAGACATTGCATGTCTCCGATCTCTAAATTCTTGTACAGAATTGGGGTGCTTACAATATGTCCGACGTACCTTTAGACTCAAAGTTCCGAGTACGTCCGACGTACCTTTAGACGCAGCGTATTTCGTATGACCAGTGTGGCAGACCGTTATACGTGAAAAAAGCACGCCTCAGATACTGAGTGTCTGCACAGACTGTTTTTTTTTTTTTTTTGTATGGTACATTATCAGTGTGATCGAAATATTTTAAAAAACAAAACGCTGTGTCAGCGTTTTCTAAAAAAAATAAGTTCTCAAATTGGCAATGTTCTTTGTAGCATACAACGTGTGACGCGTAGGTAGCGATGTTCTCAAAAAGTTACGTTTACGTTTAAATTGGTAATTCATTTTTGTTTTGCATTATTAGTATTTAAAACTTCAATATGTTCGGTTTTTGCTGCGACATGTGGATATGCATATTCTTTTTATGAAGTTCCATAGAAGTAAAGCGTCTGAGACAAAGCATACTAATCTTATTTGAAGAACACCGCCTGCAGGAGGACGGAGTCACTTGGAAGAGACGGTCGCTCCGAAGAATTCGATTTCAAAAGAAGCGTCGCGAAAATGAAGCGCGCCGTGTCGTGTCTTGACAGGGGTGCGTTTCGATTCCTTCTCTTTCTGAAGGTTACTTCTTGGTTTAATATTCCCACCCGGTTCCGAATGAAGAAGCACCACCGATCGATCGATTGCTCGCTAAACAGGGCTAAGTTTTCGTTTATATTCGGGCAATGCTTCTAGAGACGACTACAACCCTGGTTGTGAGTCTGAGTCGCGAGCCTTTAAACGAAGCTTTTTCTTTACTTCCCTAGAAACTCAACCTATCGCGTCTCGCAGTGCGTCTTATTTATGAACAAGATGGTTTACCGTTTTCACGAAAAGGATGGTTCTCCAGTCGTAAGCATAAAGCGCCGAAGTCGGTGACAGTTTAAGAACCTATAAACACCGACAATTCGAGAAACGAAGAGCGTGGCTGTGTTTACGCAACCTGCATCGTGGTTGGTTTTTGGGAGTTCGTATCAAAGAAATGCTGCATTCTGATTGGCTGCTGAGCGATGATGATGTGTTCGGGCCTCGCCGTGCACTGCGCTTCTAAAGTTGACACTGACTGCAGCGAATGCTCCACCGTGAACGCGAGATTTTTGCCTTTAAATAACGCTAGGTCGCATGCGTAGGCTTCGAGCCTGTGCTGGAATATAATACATGGGTTCCATCTTATCCTGTCACTGGCTATACGTCTATCCATAGTCTCCTACATACTGACAAAGCCTGGCAGATCGACACGAGAAGCGACCGCCGAAGTGGTAAAGGTGGAGTGGCAGACAGCGGATGAGACGAGAGCCACGTGACTGGCGCCCCGCAACGGCGAGACGCCGAAACACACCTCTCCCGAACGAAAAAGTGCGTTTCGGGTCCTCGCCGCTGCAAAAGCTGTGCGCTGACGTCCAGGTTCCCCGAGAAATGTTCTGTGCTACCAGATCCTCGCGCTCCACATGTGCGACCGGGTACTCGATGGCTACGTCGTCGAACTGCCAGGCTTTGTGAGTATAGAGAAGGCTATGGTCCATGTGAGCAGAAAGTGAGGGAGAGGAGGAGATGAGAATGCGTGGTGACGTCAGAACGCCGAGCTCTGGTTGGAATGACTAGTGGGTGGGCTCGAAGCTAGCCTGCCTTCTGTTTTCGCTGCACTCGTCGAACGCGTTTGAATGCGGAACGCCGGCGTCCGGTGTTTGGCTCTCGAATTTGAAGGCTTTCGACGAGTGCAGTGGAAACAAAGGCAGTCTAGCTTCGAACCTACCCACTATTCATACCAACCTCGCTTTCTGTCAGGACAGCCTTGGCGAGAAGGTTTCAGCGGAAGTGCACTAACTGCAGCTTCCAAAGTCCATGGTTGTAACATAATTTAATATCGCTGACGTCGAAATAATAAAGTTATTAAAATTCCGTTAGTATTTTATATTTCAAAAGACACGTATGGCGATTATTCCGCGTTTTGGTTGTCCCTATCCCTAACAACTTTCCAGAGTGTCGCAATAAAAACAAGAGCCGTTTTATTCTGACCTCCCACCATACACCAGCTAACGCACCATCTCTGTCACGCCCGGGCGCCTTCCCAATAAACCCACTCACCCGTTCATATCTCGAAAAGCGATAAACCTTCGACCTATCGATCACTTGCCCACGATCCTTAGACACCCGAGCAACTGACGTTCCTATCTCTCTCTCCCCCCCCCCCCCCCCCCCCCCCCCCCCAGATATAGAAACAACAACCCTCGTGCACGGCCGTCAGACCCATCACGCCTTCATGACGCAGTGCTCCTCCCACGCTCCGCGGCTGCCCATCGTCATCGACCCGTACACGGCCCACGAAAAGGCAGTGAAAGAAGCAGAAGAGAAAAATGTAGAAGAAAATAAGGCAAAGAAAAAACAGCTTTACCATGGTACATGTTACTAAAACCAGACGTGAGAAAGGAACGGGCATTTCATAATTCACGGGGAAGATCTTTAAGCTGCATTCACACTCCTAATGCACTATACAAAAACAGGCTGCAGACAGTGTATGAGGTCTTCCTTGTATGACGGTCGCATTGGTCATAACTGCTTGCCGACATCTTAGAAGCATGTATGAAGCTGCTTCGATCATGCTTAAGTCGTGTCCGCAGACGATTCTGTCATCATGTCTGAAAGCGAACACCAAGTAGTTTGCATGATGTACCACGAGCAATGTAACAGCGGCTTACGTTTCTCATTGTACTTTTCTCACGAATAATCACCGTCCTTTTTTATTACTTAGCGTCCGTCCGCAAAAAGTTATTGAAACACACCGCTTTATTTCTTTAATCAATAAGCACCGGAAAAACATCCGTCCATTTTTGCTTAAATAAATAAATGGCGGAAAATGTATTACCTAGCTTTATTCAATAG